GAAACCGAGTCTCACCCATAAGCAGGGGGAGCTGGCAGGGTGAACCCACAGCACGCATTTTATTTCCCGTTCCTCCGACCGCTGCAAAGTAGGGTCTGCTTGGCGGATAGTGAACGTTATTGAAATGCATTTTTAATGAGGCTGAGGACGTTTCCTTTGTCGCTTGTTTCCACGGTTCCCAAATCTGTCCCGTAAAAAAGCCCACGTGGGGTGTGCCGTGCACTGTACATCATTTATCCTCAGTGTGCGCTTGGGTTCAAAGGCTTGGCAGACAATGTTCCCATAGATTTCTTAAAAAAAAAAAAAAGTTAAAACAAAACAAAACAAAAACAAAAAAAAAGTTAACTGAAAGGAAACATTGACGGACAAAGTCAGTAAAGTCCTTAGCAATTCAAAAGCGCTGAAAACGTAAAACCAGACTGGGTTAGGGCCGCGTGAAGCAGGGCTAAGTCAAAGGCTTCCAGAAGCGGTCCCGGAATCCCGTTCTGGCGCTGAGATGCGTGAAAATTTACCTCCTCGAGGAAGGGCCGCCCAGCGTCAGGACCAGGGTCCAAGGAAGCCGATACCTAATTGAAAATCAACAGTAGCATCCACGGCCGCGGTTAACGGTGCTTTTGTCACCACGCACCCTCACCTTTTAAAACTTTGTGTCCGGCATCAACACCTCCAAGTGCCTGAGCCTTTCGTCTTCCTGGAAGTCACTTTTTTTTTAATTTTTAAAAATGTTTTTATTTAGTTTTGAGAGATAGAGACAGAGCGTGAGCGGGGGAAGGGCAGAGAGAGAGGGAGACACAGAATCTGAAGCAGGTTCCGGGCTCCGAGCGATCAGCACGGAGCCCGACACGGGGCTTGAACCGACGAACGTGAGATCATGACCTGAGCCGAAGTTGGACGCTGAACCGACTGAGCCACCTAGGCGCCCCGGAAATTACTTTTAAAGTCTTGTTCCACGAGGAATCCACGGGAGTCCCTTACAGGAAGTGTTTCTTGCTCCCAGTGTTGGGGAAATGGGGGGTTAAATGTATATGATGAATCAGCAGGACGGGGTGACTCAGCCCCTGGGGAAGTGAGGGGCGAGGCCCAGCGTGGGAGGGGACCCTCTGTGACTCAGGGGCGCCAGCTGCCGATGCCATCTGGGAGCAGTTTTCACGCTTTGCTTAAACTCAACGCACACACGAAACCAAGAGGGCAGGGGAGGTTGGTGAGAAGGTGATTAGGGCAACCGGCCCCCTGAAGTCCCCTACTTGGCCCCTGGCTCGCCCCGGGGCTCTTAGATGTGTCCCTCGAGAAGGAAGACGCACTGTTGACAGCGGCCCTGAAAAGCCCCTTGGGTGTGGGGCGTTCCGGAACGTTCTGTTCCAAAAGGCAGATGGTCACAGATGAGCCACGTTGAGAAAGGGCCTCCAGATGGGACGCTGTGGGGTTTTCTGCCAGGGGCCACCTGCTGTGACGTGTGGCTGCTGGGCGATTTATCGGGGGCCCCGCTGAGCTCGGTGGTGGGGTCTCTCTCTGACACACGGACGTAGGAGAAGCTCAGATTCTCCCCTGCACACACCTGCTCCGTGAGGACACTCCTTCTGGGAGTCCCCCTGAGCTCCTGGTGTTTACACACGCCCCTTCCAGAACCTCCCGGTTCGCTCTCTGATTCTCTCATCTGACCCCAGCAGCAGGGTCCCCACACTGGCTTCCAAGCAACCAGGAGGGGGCCACGGATGGACGTGCCCCCACCCCGTCCCCCCATTTGTACGTTGAATCCCTAACCTTCAGGGCCTCCCGATGGGACTCTAGTTACATATGGGGTCTTTGGGGAGGTAAATGGGTCAAGATGAGGTTCTTAGGGTGGGTCCTGGGAGCATAACACCGGTGTCCTTCGGAGAAGAGATCAGGACACGGACACGCACAGAGAGACGGCCATGTGAGGACACGGGGAGAACACGGCGTCTACGTGCCAAGGAGGGAGGCCTCAGGAGGAACCAGCCTCAGCCCTGCCTGGATCTCAGCCTCCCAGCCTCCAGTCCTGCCTGGATCTCAACCTCCCAGCCTCGGCCCTGCCTGGATCTCAGGTTCTAGGCCTCAGCCTTACCTGGACCTCAACCTTCCAGCCTTGGCCCCACCTAGATCTCAGACCCCCACCCTCGGCCCTGCGTGGATCTCAGGTTCTAGGCCTCGGCCTTACCTGGACCTCAGACTCCCAGCCTCGTCCCTGCCTAGACCTCAGACACCCAGCCTCAGCACTGCCTGGATCTCAGACTCCCAGCCTCGGCCCTGCCTGGATCTCAGACCCCCAGCCTCAACCCTGCCTGGATCTCAGACTGCCAGCCTCAGCCCTACCTGGACCTCAGACTCCCAGCCTCTGCCCTGCCTGGATCTCAGACCCCCAGCCTCGGCCCCTCCTGGATTTCAGACCCCAAGCTTTAGCACATCCTGGATCTCAACCTCCCCGCCTCAGCCCTGCCTGGATCTCAGACTCCCAGCCTCAGCCCTGCCTTGATCTCAGCCCCCCAGCCTCGGCCCTGCCTGGATCGCAGATCCCCCAGTCTTGGCCTGCCTGGATCTCAGCCCCCTAGCCTCACCCCTGCTTGGATCTCAGACTCCCAGCCTCACCCCTGCCTGGATCTCAGACCCCCCCAGCCTCAGCACTGCCTGGACCTCAGCCTCCCAGTTTCAGCCCTGCCTGGGCCTCAGACTCCTGGCCTCGGCCCTGCCTGGACCTCAGACCCCCAGCCTCAGCCCTTCCTGGATCTTACGGTCTCAGCTTGCAGGACCAGGAGGGGATACATGTGTCTTGCTCCAGCCGGCCTCGTTTGTGGTATTTGTTGTGGCCACGGTATGAAATCGATACGGAAGCTTTGCCTTCAGGGAAATTGCCTCCAACCCTAAACAAGGCCGTTTCTACAGTTTTGCATCTCGAAGTTCCCCTTTCGAAAAACCTTGTGCTTAGGCGATCGGTTTCCCTGGGAGACTGGGGGTGAAGTTCCGAACCACACGGAGGTCTCAGGGTCGGATGCCCCCCGGGGCAGACCTGCATGATGTGGGGGAAATACACCGAATGTGCCCCACCCTGGGAGGGCGCCCCGTTTGCAAGGCGGCTCCCAGAAGCGTTTTGTGCAGGCTCGTTCCCCAGATACTCGGGGTGGGGGGTCCCCCAGGAGCCGATGCGGGTAGTCGAGCTGGGGACAGGTCACCCCGAGGAGGGCACGCGTCCCTGCTGCGGCCACTGGCTCTCCGGAGAGACCACTGAGGTCTCGGTGGCAGGCTCAGCGTGTGGGGCTGTGCTTCCTCAGTTGTGCGGCTGGCCGATGGCCGAAAGGCGTCCTTACTTTCTTGAAATGGCGGCGTTGTGTTCCGACAGGCATCTACCCCCGGCCGAGGCCACCCCCGCGCCCCCAGCCCGGCGGTTCCGACAGCGGTGGAGGTAAGCGCACGGAGACGCGTTTCAGAAGTCCTCGGGGCGCACGGGGTGTGGCCTTTACTCACGCCTGGAATTGTCCCCTTGGTGGTGCGATGCCAATGCTTCCGAAAGATCCAGACCGTCTTTTACGAGGCCCACCCCTGAATCCCTCACCCGTGCTGCCCCCTAAATCTCGGGTTGCGGGGTGCAGTGTCCTCCAAGATGTTAGTAAGGGCTCATGATGGAAGCTGTTCTCTGCTCACACGTATTTCGGGAGATGCTCCTTTAAGCAAAATCAGTGAGATGTCATGAGCCCTCCAGAGCAGGAAAGCCCTTTCCTGGGGTCCCCAGTGCTCGGGGCAGCGTCGCTGAGGGAGAAGTTCTTGCAGAAAGAAATCAGAGAAGCCTCTACAGGCCTTTTCCATGTCATAGTTTTATCAAATTGAGCACTTACTATGTGCTTGCACCACGGAAGTCTGACGTGTTTAATTGAGCACTTACTATGTGCCTGCAGGGAGGAAATGCCGAGCGTTTAATTAAGCACTTACTATGTGCTTGCATGGAGGACTTTGAACGCGGTTAATTGAGCACTCTGGATGGGCCAAGCCTGGTGTTGGGCATGGGGGTTCGGTGGTCATCGGCGGAATGTGGCCCCCTGCAGCGTGCTAGGGGGCAGAAACAAATGGATGGATAAGTGTGGGAGGCGTGGGGTCCGACGAAGTGGCTGAGGCAGGAAGTGTAGCCTGTGTTGAGTGCAGAGGGCATGTGCAAAGGTCCTGGGGTTGGGTGTCTTCCTCTCCGTTTTGCATCTCCCTTGATCAGACGGGGTCTGTCCCACCAACTGCCCTTCCCGGGCTTCTGGGCCCCCCTGCCCCCCGCGCTCTCCCCACAGGAATGATGGCATCCCACCCACAGTTTGGTTACCGCGCCCTGGCGTCCTGGAAAGGGTCCGCCCGGCTCTCCCTAAGCTGCCCGCGTCGGGTCACACGGGCTGGGTTTACAGAGGGCTGTCTGCGCGGGGTTTGAGGAATGCTCTGTGCTGCACCCTGCAGGTTACTTTGGGAACAGGGACCAGGATGACGGCCGCTACCCGCCCAGGCCCAGGCCGCCCGCAGGTACGCCCACGGCTTCTCTCACTTGACTGGGGGGAGGCCGCGGGTCCCGCCTGGGTGCAAGGTGCGCCCCGCGAAGATGGGGTGCGGGGCGTCCCCTCCGATGCCGCAGTGCAGTGGGCCTCACACCCCTGACGCTCTGGAGGCGCAGGTTGCGGGCGAGACTGGAAACGGGGCAGATTCCCCTGGAAGGTGGTGGTGGCGTGTGTACGCACGTGTGCGCGAGCGTGTGCCCGAATGGACCTGTGTGTGCGCACACCTTTAAGGCCTCTGCTCGGACGTGTGCATACGGGCCTTTATGCATACACTTCCATACGTCCACGTATCCACGTACCGCTTTGTGTGCAGGGCTTTATGTACGCACATCTCTCCAAATCTGCATGTATGCACACGTCCCTTTATGTAAATACACACGTCTGGATACATAAGTCCCTGTACCTTTCTTTACGTATCCATCCCTTTATGTATATTTACATGTACATCTTTATATACATAAGACGTATGTACATATGTACATACATAAGATTATGTATGTACATCTTTTGTATGTACATATTTTTTGTACATATTTTGATATATTTATACTTATGTATATATCGTGTTACATATGTTTACATAAACACGTTTATATATGAATATATCTTTATATATCTTTATGTATATGTACCTTTATATACATATGCACATATTTGTATGTATTTATCATATATCCGTTTTTATATATTTATATATACACATTTATATGTGTATGTACATATTTATACATCTCTGCATATACACCTTTTATAAATACATACGTGTTTATATACAGTGTGTATACATACCTTTATATATGTGTTTCCATATATCTTTATATTTATGTATATATATTTGTATGTGCATAATTATAGATAGACTTTATATCACTAGTTTTGTACATATCTTTATACATGTGTACAGATGCATTTTTATATATGTATATACATACCTTTATATATGGATATATACACAGCTTTATATATCTGTGTATGTATTTTGAGTGTATATATACTGTCATATATGGGTATATTTTTATATATAGTTATTTGTATATCTCTATGTATACTTATATACCTTTATACATACATAAGTATACTTTTATGGGCGTGTATCATTATATATGTAGTTTTAGATAAATATATCTTTATTTGTGTATATGTGTATTTATCTGTAGGTATATTTTTATATATAGTTACTTGTATATCTGTATGTATACTTATATACCTTTATACATACATATGTATATTTTTATATGTGTGTCATTATATAAGTAGTTTCAGATAAATAATATCTATATCTGTGGAGTGTATATCTACTTTTACATATGTAGGTATGTATATTTGTGTGTATATCTATGTGTGTGTATTTGTCCACACACACACCCTCACACACATACACATACACACGTGCATAGAAAGCTTTCATGCAGTGTTTTCTGTGTGACTGGAAAGTGACCCCCTTCCTAGGCATTTTCATACGTGAATAAAAGCACACGCCCTCCGCGAGACAGACGGGTGCTGTGTCCGCCAGGGGGTAACGTATGAGGCTCTCGTGCACGGCTGTGAGGTTTCTGCTGTGTCGAGTTCTGCGAGTGTCTAGAAGAGGTACATGAGGACTTCTCCCCGATACCGTGCGGAGGGGCCTCTTTGTCATCTGGACGACCAGGATGCACACACGCATCTTTTCTGCAATGTTGGAACACCACCAACAAATAACTTTGACTCGTTATTGCAGTAATGATCACATGATAATAATGGGTAGCCTTTGGTACAGAGCATTGATGGTGGGGACCGCCTTCCCAGCCTTCCTTCTCAGAACGGTGACCCTGTGTCTGGGTCTCTGGTCCTGCTCAGATGTCTCTGCAAGACAGGGATGGATGCACCCGCATTTATCTGCTGCCATCAGGATACATACGTGCTCGCTGAAGGCACAGACCTTTTGCTTTTTTGTTAATTTTTCAAATGTTTATTTTTGAGAGAGACAGAGAGAGAGAGAGAGTGTGTGTGCGAGCAGGGTAGGGACAGAGAGACAGGGAGACACAGAATGTGAAGCAGGCTCCAGGCTCCGAGCTGTCAGCCCAGAGCCCGACGTGGGGCTCGAACCCACGAACCGGGAGATCATGACCTGAGCCGAAGTCCGATATTTAACCGCCTGAACCCGCTTTCTGTGGGGGTGCCTGCCTGGGCATGAATTTTCCTACAGAAAGCTATGACTTTGGGGGCACCCTTGGATGTGCCCTCACGGCCCCTGCTCTTGGCTGCCGTATGGGGCTCCCTTTGGGGTGACTCCTGGGCATGGCTTGGTGCCGTCACCAGCGACCCAAGCAGACGCCTGCTGCAACCCTGTGCGTCCCAGCAGAGCTCAGCTGAAATCTGCCTTCTGTCCCACAGCTGGCGGTGGTGGCTACTATCCCAACAATGACGGCCACGGAAACGCCTATGGTACGTCCAACACTTGGGCCCCCCGGAGGGCGAGGGTGGCGGGAGGGGGTGTCGTATTTCCAGGGCTCCTGTTTGCATCCCCACAACAATTTCTTCCTGCGGTCTTGGGTGTTGGCTCTGTGCCGGTGTGCGGGGTTTGGAGCCCTGTCTGCACTGACCCTCTGGCTGGCCTGCCTCCTGCCCTCCAGGGACCCAGGTGTGCACGCAGGTAGTGAGAAACAGAGCAACTGACACTAGGGGAACAGCAGCTGGTGAATCGGTGTGTGGGGGGATCTTTGTTACGCGGCTCAGCGGCTGACCATTGCAAACAGAAAACACTCTGGGCGGGCAGATCCTGGCAGGAAGGGAAGGAAGTGTCCACAGCAGGAAGTAATGGGGGTCTTGTCTACACTGAGTGTATCTCAAAGTAAGCGGGCAATCTTGAAGCTCTCAGCTTGTTGTCTGCTTCTGTAAGGGAAGACTGACGACAAAATGTCATGCTGGGAAAAGAAAACGCTACGGATTGTTTTTTCCTTTTTTTTTTTTATTGGAGACACAATGCACGTGAACTTTGTATTCATTCTATGTATATAAAGTAACAGTTCCCTATTGGAGACTTGTTCCAAAATTATTGGGACTGTAAGTCCGCTGGTCCCGCATCGCATCGGGATGCATAGTTACAAATTTTATTTATTTTTATTCCGAAATGAGAACCTTTAAGATTTACTTCCTTAGCGACTTAAACAATTTAATGCTTACTTATTTTTGAGAGAGAGCATGAGTGGGAGAGAAGCAGCAAGGGACAGAGACAGGGGAGCGGAAGCAGGGTCCGCGATGACACCAGAGAGCTGGACGCGGGGCTCGAACCCACGAACCGTGAGATCGCGACCTGAGCCCAAGTCGGAGGCTGAACCGACTGAGCCACCCAGGAGCCCCCTTCCCTTAGCAATTTTGAGATGCGATACATTCGCATTCTGATGTGATACAGGGTCGTTAATCAGGGTCCCCGTTCTGCCCATGACGTCCTGGGGCTTATAAATGCAGACTTGTCCCTCTGATTCAGTTCACCCATCAGTCAATTTACGGGTCAAAGGCAAAGCGTGAATTTACTTTTCTTTTTGCCATTGGTTACGGGCTTTCAGCATCAGAACTGAATGGAGTCACGGTCTGGTGGGTTACGACTGATATGGGTGCATTTGCAAGGCATCGGGGTCCTGTTGGAGATGTGGTCCGTGAATCTCCGCAGCCTTGGTATGAGGAATAATAGTTTACAGCCCGTTTTACAAAGTAAAGGTGACAGGGACAGACATCCATCACCCCGTAGATGGCCCTGTCCCCATAACGCAATGGGAAATTGTCCGTGAAAAGCAGATGCCATTTTTAAGAAATTGTTTTTAATGTTTGTTTATTTTTGAGACAAAGAGACAGAGCATGAGCGGGGGCAGGGGCAGAAAGAGAGGGAGGCACAGAATCTGAAGCGGGTTCCAGGCTCTGAGCTGTCAGCACAGAGCCCGACGTGGGGCTTGAACTCACGAGCTGTGAGATCATGACCTGAGCCGAAGTTGGACGCTCACCCGACTGAGCCCCCCAGGTGCCCTGAAAAGAAATTTTTTTAATTTAAAACTTGGCAATCATCATCACATGGGGCCCCTGATCCTCTGGGGTGAGGGATTCCGAGCCCCCTGAGACAAAGGCCGTGCAGTGTGACCTCAGCTTCCAGTCCCCTGCGGTCAAAGGCCACGCCGCGGGGACGGTGCACCTTTCGGTTGCACGGGGAGGGCGGCCTCGACATCTCCCCAGCCTCACACGGCATCTTGGGTCGGGTGTTCTCGGTGCGGCCCCGGAAACTTCCGGGGTTCCAGCTCACGTGCCCTTTCCGTCCCGCAGGAGGAGGGCGTTCTAGACCCAACTCTTACGGAAATAATTATGGTAAAGGGATTGTTTTGTTCGCGCTGTGCGAGGACGGGCTGTCCTCGGGGAGAACTAACACCGACTGCACGCTGGCAGGGGGCGGGTCGCATTGTGTCCTGTGTGGACACCAGGTCACCAGCTGGGTCTAACTCGTGTGCTTTTCTCGTCAGCGAAGTTGTTTCCCTATCTTGGAAGGAAGTGAGCCCTGCTTACAGTTCGTAATGTGTCTGTGTGTGTACTTGCATGTGGGTCTGTGTTAGTGTGCAGTGCACGTGTGCAAGTGTTTCTTGCACATGTGTGGCCGTGTGCGTGTGTGTGTGTGCACGTGTGTGGTGTTTGTGTGGGATTGTGCATGTGTAGTGTGTGTGTGTACGTGTGGGTGGGCATGTGCCCGTGTGTGGAGGTGTGCGTGCACACGCGTGTAGATGGGTGTGTACATGTGTGGAGGCATGTGTATGTGTGGTGTGCGTGTACGTGTGTGGAGGTGTGAGTGCACACGTGTGTAGATGGGCGTGTACATGTGTGGAGGCGTGTGTGTGCACATGTGAGTGTGGGTGTGCACGTATGTGGAGGTCTGCGTGTGCCCGTGTGTGATGTGTGTGCACATGTATAGGCATGTGTGTGGGTGTGTACATGCATGTAGGTGTGCATGTGTGTGCGTTGCACGTGTGTGTAGATGGGCGCGTACATGTGTGGGGGCATGCACATGTGTGCGTGTACATACGTGGAGGTATTCGTGTGTACATGTGGGTGTGCGTGTGCCCGTGTGGAGATGTGTGCACGTGTGTAGGCATGTGTGTGCGTGTGCACATGTGTGCACGTGTGTGGTGGGCGTGTACACGTGTGTAGGCCTGTGTGTGGGCGTGTACATGTGCCGAGGCATGCACGCATGTGTGTGCCCATGTGTGGAGGTGTGCGTGTGCACGTGTGTGGAGGTGTGTGCACATGTGTAGGTGTGTGTGGGGGTATGTACATATGCGGAGAAGTGCACGTGTGTATACATGTGTGGGTGTGTGCATGTGCACATGTGTAGGCATGTGTGTGGGTGTGTACATGTGTGTAGGCGTGCACGTGTGTGTCCATGTGTGGAGGTGGGCGTGTGCACGTGTGTAGGCCTGTGTGTGGGCGTGTACATGTGTGCAGGCGTGCACGTGTCCATGTGTGGACGTGGGTGTGTGCACGAGTGTAGGTCTGTGTGTGGGCGTGTACACGTGCGGAGGCATGCACGTGTGTGTGCTTATGCGTGCATGCATCGGTTCGTGTGTGCACATGCATGAATGTGAGTGTGAGCTCACATCTGTTGCACGTACATGTGTGCATGGGCATGTACCCCGACCCCTGACACGGAACCTGCACCCCCGTGTGTCTCCACCGCGGCCTGTCCCCCCTCACCATGTCGTGTGGCGTGCACACCTGCTCCCTCTGTGGGCGTCCCCGCCTCCCTGGGGGCCTGTCGTGCGCTGCGCTTGGACCCGCGAGCCCAGCGCCCGGGGCTGGACGCGCCTTGGAACACACTCATGACCGTGTGCCCTTCCCTTTCCCCTTCCAGGCGGAGACGGATACTCCACGTACGGCAACCAGCAAGGTAACGGGTCGGGGCCACGCCCCGCGTCTTTAATAAAAACACGCTCTCACGGGGCGCGCGAGGCCCGCGTGGTCCCCGCCTCTGGTCTTTGACGGAGCACCTGCCGTCTTCACGTTGGGAAGGAAAGTCCTGAACAGCCCTGTGTGCCTTCGGGGGGCGGTCAGCGCCCCGGGGGCTCAGGGAAGGAGAAAGCAGGGCGCGCGCGCCAGGCCGCCGGATGCCTGGTGGCCGCGAGGGCACCGTGGGGATCGTGGGCCTGTGTCGGTGCCACCGAGGGCTGTCCTTTGCTGAACGCACAGCTCGGGAGGCCGAGAAGGAGAACAGGAAGGAGGGCACGGGCGCTGTGCCCTCGTGAAGCCCCCAGAGCGCACGGCCGGCCGCGGGGCAGGGGTGCCGTCCAGGGGACCGACGAACATCCGGCCCAGACACACGGCTGCACAGAATGTATGGGGTCCCGCGGCAAGAGGGGGGGACGATGGCAGGCTGGGGTGGGGTCCGGGCACGCGAGGCTTCCCTCCGGTGACGATATCCAAGCCAAGGTGCCATGGGGGCCGAGGATCCCTGCCTACGACCCGCCAGGGGCTCGACCCCGCCTGACACAAGACGCAGGGGGTCAGTGTCCACACAGGCAACGACTTCTCTTTCCAAGTGTTGACTTTTGTCACGCGAGGTCCTGCACGGGAGAAACCAAAGCTGTGCGGTAACCTTCCCTTGAAGGCGTCAGCCTGTGGGGTGTGAATGAGTCCAGACCTGTGGCTGTCAGGACACGTTTTGGTTGAAGAAAAAAAAAATATTTTCTTTGGCCTGCGTAGACATTCTACTTTGAAAACGGTACAAACCCGTCAAATTCAACAGGCAGACGAAAAACCAATCAAGTGCCTCTCACAGGCACCGTTCTATCTTGAACGTCCTGCACGGGGAAGACGTGCTTACTGATCTCCACGCGGGGTAGGCGCAGAACCCTTTCCTCTAGCTCCTCGTTCGGATTTGCCGTGTCTATGTATTTTTTCGTCCGGAGTTGAGGGTGGGGAGGGCGGGACGTGAGAATGTGGAGGCATTTAACACGAACGGCTTTCTCGCGGGGTGTTTTCTCAGAACCTCTCTGTCTCTCCACCCGGCAGGTAACACGATAGCGAAAATCGTGTCCCCCATCGTGTCCGTGTTGGTGGTCATGCTGGTGGGTGCTGCCACGGGGTGGTTCCAGCGAAACAGGAGGAGAAATTGTTTCAGGACAAGAGGCAAGTGTCTCGAGCTGGAAAGCTCCTTCCGGAGCCTGTCACTCAGCAGGGCTGTTTCTGGCGACGGCCAGCCTAGCACCCTGGCATGAGGACACGGTTTTCACTTGGGATGCTTGCGAGGGACACATGGGGACTTGGGAGAAGCCAGCCCACGTGGTTTTCTGGTCCCACTTTGGGTACAGGCTCCTGGGTTTGGAGAATCACGTGCCCAGCTGGTGGCGGTCCTTGGGGAGCAGAGGTGGTCAGTGAAGGGCCCTGAAGACATCTCTGCGGGGAGGGTCCTGGGACAGACACGGGGGCCTCTGTTGTGGAAACAGCAGCTCCGAGTTTAAGCGACAGTGTCTTGAGTTTGGGTCCCGAGAGCCCCCTGCGTCTGACGGGGTCTGGGATTTGCAGGGAGTGTCTGCCCTCCCCTCCTTCCTGTCCCTAAGGTCGCTGTGAAAACCAGCCTTCGAGAAGGGATGTCAAAACCCCAAAGCCTGCCCGGGGCCTCCCCCTGCTGGCGGATGCGGGCTATTGACCAAACGCAGGCTGGGACCAGCCAGCCTGCATCTCCGCTGTCCCCGGGTCCCCGCAGAGAGTCCGGCGGGGGTGGGGGCGGGGAGAGGGGGACCGAGTCCGTGAACAACGTGTGGGCGTTGGAGAAGCAGGACTGTAAAGCCGAACTGGGTTTTATTTTATTTTATTTTTCATTTTTTTTAATGTTTATTTATTTTTGAGAGAGACAAAGACAGACAGAGACAGAGTGTAAGTGGCCGAGGGGCAGAGAGAGAGGGAGACACAGAATCCCAAGCAGGCTCCAGGCTCCGGGCCATCAGCACAGAGCCCGACGCGGGGCTGGAACCCACGAACCGTGAGATCGTGACCTGAGCCCAAGTCAGACGCTCAGCCTTCTGTTCACACTAGGGACCTCAGACAGGCAAGGGTGCACACGATGTGGTGAACTGGCCCCTTCCAGGTGGGATGCGGTGCAGTGCACAACCTCGTGAACTGTATGTGTGCCGCAGCCCCACAGTCGGCCTAGCACAGCTTGTGGGGACACGGTTATCAGGTCGGGCTGCCACTTACGGGGTGACAGACCTCCTTTACAGTGGGTTGTTTGAGCGTGATTCACATTTATTTTGTAAACTAGAAGGAATGAAAGCACCCGCATCAGAGACTTTGAAGGTTAAGGAAACCACATCCCTAAAAAAATATTAGCTGTGACCAAAAAAAGATAGAGTGGCTGGTTCGTTGAGGGTGTTCAAAGCCCTCAAGAGCGGAAAGCATAAAAAGCATGGTAATGCTTGAAAATCAAGCCACAGAGGAGTTTTCTTGTCCCTGGCGGTGACACTGTGTTCCCCGTCTTCCCTCACAGAACCAGAGCACGTGTGACGGCTTCAGGATCCCGTGGTTGCTTTGAGAGCTCAGTGTAGACGAGGTCCCCGTGTATCGCTCCCGTGACAGCTCCTTCCATTGCGGACGTCATTGCCACCCTAAAGCGTCTCTGTCTGGAGGGGACCGACCGCCTGACAAAGAATTTCTGATCCGCCGGACGGGGGAGGGGGGTGTTTATAAAGATAAGTTAGCCAAGCCTTGGGTCCTAAGAAGATGGTCTGACCTGCACGTTCGATGACTCCTTTGACCAGATTGCGAGGCTGTGGTGGGTTCCCCAGAACTACCTCACGGTGCAGGATGCGCACATTGTCCCAAAGTACAACGGGGGTGCAAAGGCATAAGGGGTCTCGGGCTGTGGGGTGCTGTCTCCTTCTGGGGGTTTTGGGGGACCCTCTGAGGGTTTCCAGTGGGCTCTGGGAGAAACCTGATCCATGGGAAGTCTTCCTCAAGGAGCCAGCACCCCCCCCTTCCAGCTGGAACAGCAGGATTCCCGCTGCTCAGTGCTGGCTGTGACCATGTAACCCTTATTAGCACACAGTAAGGCTGGCATTTCCAGTTGCTGGTGCATGCACTCCCTGATGTGCAAGACATCATGGGCAATCTGTGCAGACTTTTTCTCTTTTTTTCCTGCAAAATCTTATGATTTCGGTATTTTGGGAAGGGAGAAAATTGGGGCTGGCAGTCATGATTTGTGCCTGTTGAGTCTTCCCATATTATTTTTCATGTGATAGTCTGTAGGCAACTGTGTTGAAGGCAATGGCATCCTTTTCTGTGGTTTCTACTTTTTTCCGCCCCTTTTTACTGGAGTAGAAAATTCTAAGTCCTCAGGCATCTAAAAAGCATACTAGGTATTTGCTTCTATTTTAGCGACATTTTAGGGGAAGCTGGGAAAAAGGAAGGATTTGGGCTCATTGATAGAGTTTCATTCAATTAACGTAAATGCTTATAGGACTTTCGGAGTTTGCCCTAAATATCAGCACTGAACATAAAGATAGTTACTGCAATCCAGAACTCATCAGGAGGACCCAGGAAAGTCCTAAATTGTTGTATGCGCCGTGCTCATGGGTATGGACTGGGAGGTAGGTCTCCAGGGAGGACTTGAATGCAGAAAGACCTAGAAATACCTCCCCAAATAGAAAAGGGAATTTACAGCTAACGCTCTTGATGTGATGTGATTCATATGTGATTGGAGCACTTTCAAGATGGCCGTGGTTACCATCTGGTTGCTATCGGGATGGGAATGTCCTCCGACGTTTCTCCAGTGTCCCCATCAAGTGACAAAGCCTCGTGGCCCCAACACTCTTTCTGTAGTCTTTTCTGTGGGTTTCGGTAGGAGTTTATTTTGAGTCTTGATAAAAAGTATGCGCGTGTGTGGACAGACAGACACATCCACGCCATCACAGACACTCCTGGATGGAATGGAAGCATTCATAACGACATACATCCATCGGTTTCCTGTAACTGCCATAAGTACATTTTTATCGTGTAAAAGAAACGTAAAAAAAAAATAAAGTAAAAAGACGTCTTCTTTGTTTCACCGACGTTGACGAAACAGCACTGGAAAATAAAAATCATAAGGCATCGAGTAAATCCCGTCCTGGGCCTGGTGGTGTGTCCATTGGGTGTGTGTTCTGTCTGAGATGGTCTCCGCTCCATCCCGGGGGACCTGGCAGGCATCTGAGGACTGGGTGGCCTTCCTTCACCCCTCCCCCCAGAAACACATTTTCAGGTTGGCACCATTTGGAATAAAACGGATTATGGGGCGCCTGGGTGGCTCAGTCGTTAAGCATCCAACTTCCGCTCTGGACGTGATCTCGCGGCCCGTGGGTTGGAGCCCCGCGTTGGGCTCTGTGCTGACAGCTCGGAGCCTGGACCCTGCTTCACATTCTGTGTCTCCCCTCTCTCCACCCCTCCCCTGTTCACGCTCTGTGTCTCTCTGTCTCTTAATAATAAACGTAAAAAAAATAAAAATAGATAAAAAAATAAAAAATATATAAATTAATTTAAAAAATAAAAATAAATTTAAAAAATTAAAAAAAAAAAAAAAAAGGAGAAGAGGGGAACCGGAAGTTGGTGAGTCTGCAACAGCCCCTCCCGTACAATGTTCACAGGGAGCGCGGCCCTGCCCTGCCTGGATCTCAGACTTCTTGCCTCCAGAGCTGAGAGAGAGCATCAACGTGTGTTGTTTCAGCTGCTGGGTGTGTGGGACTCTGTTGTGGCGGCCCTGAGAAACTCACGCACAGGTCACGACATGTTGCATCCGTATGTGTGACTTCCTGTGCACCTTGCAGGCAGCCTGCACGACCTCTCTGGGCTGCAGGAACTGCACCTGAAGGGTGGGTGTAATAACGGGGCTGTGCCTCGCCCGGATGCTGGGGGTGTAGGAGCTGAGGTGTCACAAGCAGGCCCAGCCGTGCCCGGTAGGTAGTGAGGTCTGCAGGTGCAGATGTGTGAAAAAAAAAAAAAATACAAATAACCTTTTTTTCTTATTATAAATAGAATGAGGTTCAATGAAATATATAGGATATTTCTTAGAGTCAGATTAGAAGAGGAGACCGTGAAATCAAATCTGCGGACACTAATGAAACACACAGAGTGTTCGAGAATAGAGGCTGTCCCCACCAAACCTGCCTTGTGCCTCTTCTGAATCAACGGCGCCCTAGCCAGGCTCCAGGCTTTCCAGGCGAACTACAATTCCCAGAACCCTTTGCACGCTATGATAGTCATGTGACAGCTCTGGCCAATGGCGCGCCACCTCTATTCTACGGCTGCAGGAGAGTTCTATGTGCCTGCAGATGATCCCCTTCTGCAATGAAGAGATCTGGGGGTGTATTTGGGGGCGGGGCTGCTGTGCCAGGACCGGGGTGTCTTCACGGAGGGACCCTTCTCCTGTGGTCCTGACCCTCAGACCTTACTAATAAAAGGGTACAAGCTTCCAGTTGTGGACCCCGCGCGTCTTCGGCGTCCTCGCCACAAAGCAGACGCGGCAACGTGGGAGTGTGTCCCGTGCCACCGTGCACACCTGACACGGTCACCATGTGGTAGGACAATTGTGCAACACACCCGGGCGAGCTCTGATCTCTCTCCACAAGCGTGTTCGCTTGGAGTCTGCAGGCGTCCACCGCTGGACACGCACAGATGATGTTTTCAGGGACTCTGGAAGATTCCCCTCTTCTTTCCACGGTAAATTCACTATAAATGTAATCATGGTGGTAATTCAAGTACAAGTTTGTAATGACATATAGGCATTATATAATATATATACACAACATATTTGTGCATATAAATTTATATATCATTATATATGTAACATATTATTTATAAAATATATATTTATATACGTATAAATATATATGAATATACTTAAGTATATAAGTGCTATAAAATATAAATATAAAATGTATTATTTTTAAAATATATTTTTATATTCATGTATATAAATATATATGAATATACTTATGTATATAAATACTATAAAATATAAATATAAAACATACTATATAAGATAAATATATATACAATGTATACTATATAAGATATATAAAAATATGTATCTATAAATATGTATATATATTTGATGGATAGATAGATAGGTGATACATAGGTAGATAGATATGGTTGATGGATAGATAGATAGATATGATGGATGGATAGATAAATGGATATGATCCATATATCTATAGATATGATGGGTGGATGGATAGATAGATAGATAGATAGATATGATGGATGGATAGAAAGATGGGTAGACAGGTAAATAGATATACAGATACATATGATGGATGGTTGGATAGATAGATGGGTGGATGGATGGATAGATAGGTGGATGGATGGACAGATAGGTGGATGGATGGATAGATAAGATAGATAGATAGATAGATAGATAGATAGATGTGGTTCAGTAATGGCTTTATGATTGAGCTGACATTACAGAATCTGACTTTCAAATTGCCTTTTTTTTTTTCTGACTACATGAAGCTTGCTTGTTGTGGAGACTTGTAAACAGGATCTGCATGTGCACTGGTATTTTATCTTCCATCAGACAATTCACTGTACCTTGGGTTGCTTTTTGTTCCAGAGAATTTGAGCATTGATGAGAGCACATTAATCATTTTCTTAAAATTTCTTCCTCATGATGCATCACCAGGGCTCTGCCTGGACTAGTGCATTTGTCCCCAATCCCAGGGACACCCCTACCCCCGCCCCCGTCCGTACCACCATGGCCTCTATCTTGAGCAAGTGTTTATTGACATTGTGTTTGTTTGCTCATTGAGTTTACTTCCTTTTTCTTTGCATCCTTGGGTGTCTTATCAGATTTATGTGTCCCTGAAGATGGGGACTTGCACCCAGACTGTCTGTTTTTGCTGCCTTGTGTGAGACGGTTGTCCTTAAAGCTCACCGATCTTTCTTTTTGATGGCTGAGAAATGTCATGTTGGGATGTGATACGGAGGGTGGGTGGATTTCAGAGCCCGTCAAACTTGTTCCGATCCGGTATTGCAAAGCAGTGATGACACATGGTCCCCAACCTGCACCAAGGGGGCTCTGCTCATTGGGACAGTTCTTCGGGATCCTTATTCTGTCCTCGAGCCGTGTAATGTGGGACTCTGAAAGCTAATTCTTGCTCTGAACCCATCAACCTTTCCAGGACACATTAATCCACTTTCACACGGGCCTTGAATTTTTTGTTTGTTTATCAGAATGTCAGAAACATGGCCAAACAAATTACTTGAAAGAAATAAGTAACCTGGCTTTAGCTTTGTTTCAAAAAAAATTATTTACTTCTTTTTGCTCATAAACTAGTGATGGGACCCTCGATTTGGAAAGTTTTATTACTATATCTATCTATCTAGATATATGCATATCTGTGTATATCTAGAGATATATATGTATACGTACAATGGAATATAATTCAGCCATAAAAAAAGATGAAATCTTGCCATTTGCAACCACGTGAATGGATCTAGAGCGTATTATGCTAAGAGAAATAAGTCAGAGAAAGAAATACCATACGATTTCACGCATACGTCAAATTTAAGAAACAAAACCTATTATTTAAATAGAAGTTAGTTAATTCATGGCCAGTGCAAGTTCACTCAGACCCTCGTCTGTCCCCTTGAAAGCAAGAAACAAGTTTCCTGTATGAAAAATACCTTCCCTTACTAACAAGGAACAAGACACCCTTATCACCAGAAACTGGGGCTTTAAAGCTGAGAAAGCTGTGTATGCAAACCTTCCTTTTTCTGATCTGCCTCGGCCCAAATTCTGTTCAGAATTCCTTACTAGTACAGCCCCTGAAATCTGTGTGTGTGTGTTTGTTTTTTATCTTGTCCATTTCTCACAAATGTATCATCTCCACCTAAAACGTATAAAAACTGCCTGCGTTGGTCATTTCTTCGGGTATCAGTTTCATTGGCCTCTGTGCACACGTAACAAAACTTCGAAGTTTTTTGGTTTTCGGTTTTTTTTCTCCTGTGGTTAGTCTGTCTCGTGTTGATTTAGTTCCTGAACCAGCTGGAACAGCTTGAAGGGTAGAGGAGGAATTTTTCCTTCCCGACACTTTGAAGGACTTCTCTTCTGGAATTCTGACGGGATGGTCCTTGCATACAGGTGCCTTGTTGTGCCTGCATCGGACTTCTGGACGTGCCCAAAATACACCTGCTAAGAGCACTGTGCAAAGGTGACATCTTCCTCATCTCCTTGGCCTCACTGCTGTGAACCATGGTGCAGACGGCTTCCCTGCGGGCTGTGAGGCGAGAGATTCTGCAGCTGGGTCAGGCATTTGGGTGCAGGCGATAATTGCGTTTCGAGACACCAAATGCTGCTGTCCCCAGGCTCCCCAGAGGGTTATGTTTTACATTATGCACTTGCAGACTCCTTAGAGAGCTCAGGGCTTTGTTCAGAGTGGATGCATTCTACATATACATTATTATATTTGTTAATAAATTAGTATAGGAAAATATAATATACGGTATATATAATACATAGATTATAAACATATCATATAAACATATAATTATTACATAATAAACATAATATAGACAGATATATATGTGATTTATAGTATATATTATTATACATATCATATATAATATGTAATCATATAGATCATATATAATATATAATTATATATTATAATGTTTATATATGTTTGTTATATAAACATATATAAACATGTATATGTATGTTATATATACATATTACATATATGTATATATAAACATATATAAACATGTATATGTATAATAATATGTTTATATATGTTTATAACAAACATATATAAACATATTATAATTATTATGTAGTAAACATATAATATAGACAGATATATAGGCGATTTATAATATATATTGATACATATCATATATAAGTAATCATATATATCATATATAATACAATTACCTACATTATAATATGTGACATATAGAATTTACATGACATTATGTATAATATCTTACATATATAAGATATACACACATGGGATATATAAGATAGATATCTCATATTTATATAACATATATAATATAATAATATAATATAATATAGATATACAGATATGGGATATATAATATAATGTATAGAATATAT